CACCAGCCACAGTACATATTGCCTACATTAACAGATTTGTTCTCAACTGCATAGAATTCTCAACATACATAGCCAACGTTTTTACAAGATCACTGTTATCACTGGACATGGAAAGATTAAAATAAGCTAATGTTGGAAATATGTAGTATTTCCTAGGAATAAACTGTTCACGTAAATCGACATATTCCTGGCATACAAACAAGAAGAGGTACTTATCTTCGACAGAGTTCATTTTACAAACATTACAAAACCTTTCTTTTCTTGGAACATTTGAATATCTACCCATCTCAATTTCAGTTGGTGAAAACTACATCTAAACTTAGCTAAAGGGACACGAAATTTCCGAAAAGTTATACGCTTAGAATATAATGCTCTGGTAAGAAGTTAGACTTGTGAATAGAATAATTATATATTTTATATTAGAACCTTGTGACAAAGATGTATCCAAAACCTGATGATAAATACATTTAGCTCTATCCATAAATTCTGATAAAAACGATTGAATATTATCAATGCACTGGGAATGAACGGAACTAATGAATGGTTGAAATGCAAAATGAAGGGGGTTGTCTGTAATACCTTCCAAATAGTGTGAACTGACATTTAATGTTTTCTGTGAGGAAAGATTAGATGTTACAACATATTGTTGTGGTTGATGATTGGCTGACAGTCAGGTATGATTGTAATCAAAACAATGTTTTAACAAAGACTGGAAGGGCGAAACCAGTACAGCAGGACATACTTACCCTTTCCGCAGGTACAATCGGATGTCATCCTCATTTGAAATGAACCTTTACACGATTTGTATATATTACTGTAGCGCTTGATCTTTGGCAATATGGCGGACTCTAGTCAAATATGACGTCACGAGCGGAAAGGTCAAGTGAGTTCCAGCGGAATATGCATAATGACCGAAGGTCAGATAACAGAAACTGTTTTCGCGATTAAAACATAAAAAAACACCATATTTTTAAATAAAAAATGGGTTACATGTTTCTGGTGATCTTTCACACAGCAAACTATTGCAGTTGTCTAGTATTCTCCTTTAAGGACTATGTTACGTAACGCAGTGTTAATCATGTGCCTATCATCTCGGACTGTTGTGACTCTGGGGCGACCTGGTGGACGTGCATATTCCACGGACCCAGTGGCTTGGAATCTGTGCCACAGTCTACCAAAAGCAGTCTGACTCACATTAAAGCGGACAGCAACCTGCCGTTGAGTTTGACCAGATCCCAGAAGGCCTATAGCCTGACCTCTTTCAGCAAGTGTCACAAAACGTCTCATTTAAAGCTGCGATTTCAAAAAGGTACCTGAACAGTGAACGACAGTGAAAAAAGAGGTGCGGTTCATAACTGTTATGTAACATTGTGTAATTCTGTGAACCTGTTGACATTTGTGGTAACACAATGGCTGGTGTTGCTGCAAAAGCAGCTGTCAACAAATCTGTGACACCACTTCTGATGCCCTACACGGACTATAAACCTTTAACTAGATCTTATATCCGTGATCTAATGCAACAGAAGTGGGACACCAAGTAGGCGACAATAAATTACATCAAATTAAACCAGCTATCGGTTATACCTACTTGGGTTGTCAGTCCAGGGTTGGGGAGGTGGTCTTAAGACGATGCCGTATTGGCCATTCACGTTATACGCAATAATATCTTTTTAAAGATCCTCCATTTTGTATCCCTTGTGATGAAAAAATTACTGTGAAGCATGTCCTGCTTGATTGAGCGGATATTTCCTTCACAAGGGATTCATGTTTCAAAGTTTCAATAAGGATCTTTTTAGCATAAATGTTCGTTTGATTACAGGCTTTTTAAGTGAGTGAGTGAGTTGCTTCAAAAATTTTGATTATTATGTGTTGTATTTTATAAATTATTTTAAGGTTTGGACAAATACATTGATAACTGAGATTGTTTGTGGCTGTATCCTTAAATTGGGTTGAAGTAGTGTAAAGTAGTTATCCCCTGAGAGGGTACGTAAGACCACGTCATTCACAGTCTATTTATTTGTATTTATGTTTTTAATCGTAGGATATGTGTTAATTTAATTCATGGTTAAATTCTTCAAAATCGATAACATCTGAAGGGATGGTATTCATCCAGCTAGAGTCCCTGCAGGTAGCAAAAGTACTGTAAGTCCACATGGCCTCTTCTACGGTAATCGACCCGTGAAGGTCCGGGTTAGAATATTGGCCTTCAGTAACCGATGCTTGTCGTAAGAGACGACTAACGGGATCGGGTGGCCAGGCTCGCTGGCTTGGTTGACACATGTCGTCAGTTCCCAACTGCGCAGATCGATCCTCATGCTGTTCATCACTGGATTGTCTGGTCCAGACTCGATTATTTACAGACCCCCACCATATAGCTGGGATATTGCTGAGTGTAAAACTAAACTCACTCACTCACTTCTATGGTAATCTACCTTCAATTGTTGGCGATGTATAGCCCATTTCTATATTGTATTGTTGCATGAATAATTATTGTTTTATGATAAATTGCTAGTTTTTTGCAGTGTGCGAAATAGCCAATGGCCCGCTAGCCCGTGGCTAGTACAAATCCCGTCGGGACAGTAAATCTCACAGTCACTGGCCCGACTGGCTAGTGAATTTCCATAGGGCCATTTTGTAAATATATCACTCTCCGACAAGTTAAGTCATAACACATTTTTAAATCATGCAAGATTATGACCTGAAATGATCATCATATTAGCAAGTTAATGAGGAAACCCGTGTCTACATTCAACTTTCAGACTAGTGAATGATTTTGTGGGCATAGGTAACCCGAATGGCTAGCAAGATTTGGAAACTATTTCGAACACTGGTCTTACGTCATCATCTGTGATTATCTAGTTATTTAACTGTCCTTTGTTGACAGATATTTATTCTGTCTAATGCTATTTACAACTCTCATAATCACGATATAGATGAAATAATGTCGATGTGACTTTAAATTGTAACTCACTTTCTGTTTAGGGTCATCAACTGTCATGATACAATCCTCGGAATCACCATCTTCAAGTGTATCAACAAATGTCCCAGCTGTATCTAACAGCCCAGTGACTGGTGAACAAGAACACGAAGAAGGTATGGGTATATCCGCATCTTCTTTGAGTGAGTGAGTTAGGTTTAACACCGCCTTCAACAGTACGTCAGTTACATCACGGCCTGTCAGCTTAATGACGGAGGACAAGTCTATACTACAGTACGTCAGTTATATCACGGCCTGTCAGCTTAATAACGGAGGACAAGTCTATACTACAGTACGTCAGTTATATCACGGCCTGTCAGCTTAATGACGGAGGACAAGTCTATACTACAGTACGTCAGTTATATACGGCCTCAGCTTAATGACGGAGGACAAGGAACAACAATATGCGTTATACTTAACAAAGTCAAAGTTAATTCATACTGGCGTCTATCTACAGTCTTCTTGGAGGTGTAAGGGGTGGGGGTTGTAAACCATTAGCCGGGAAAGTGAGAGGTCAGTGCTTTGATTCGCTGCCCTTATCATATCAAAAGACGTTAAAAGATGGTACTTGTTGTGTCCCTGTCTTGATCTAGACATTGCGGGGAAAAACAGAGACTGGTCAGTTCGGAGTTAGTACACACATGTTTGGACCAAAGTGGCCCTAAAATTCACAGAAGTTAGTTTAAACATGTCATTATCTAAAAACGAAATAAAAATGCCTATTAAATCTCAACATCTACCAACGGTGGCAAAGTACCTATCAAGATTTAACTCGGAAGCTAAAAACTCTACTCCATTTAAAAAGCTAAAATCATCAGTCAGCCTCAGCTAAACATGTGTGATTCGTTGAAACTGTCAATGGTAAGGAGCCAGCCTGTGATGTTTGTTATCCTTTCTCAAAACTCACTAACAAATCGTGTCCATTTCTTCCAGGTGTGAGCTACCTGCTGAAAAATATTCATACAGTTCTATCAGCAGCAGGGGAAACCGGAGGATTCATCCTGGTTGATATTCCACAGCAGGGGTATACCGTCACAACCACTGTAGCGCCATACAGCAGGAATGTTACTTCTATAAATTCGTTTCTAATGGTAACGGTGGGTGTGGAAACCAAGGCTGTCGTAATCCACGTCTTCGGTAACGACATCAGTATTTACGGATACAACGTCTATGGATATAACTCCTTTCTTCCCTCCCGATCTCGGCCCTCGGTTCCAGGTATGTAGTGTCCACCTGCCTGGGTTACACGGATCACGTGATGTTAGTGATTGCTAACTACAACCAGAAGACGGACGTGGACATAACGCTGATGCTGGAGGGGAACGTCACCTATGACAACATGACATACAACGACGGAGACACGATTCACGTGAGTCTAGATGAGTATCAGACCTTCACATTGAAGAGCGCCTATGACCTGACTGGAACTGTTATCAACACAACACGTGCTGTAGCTGTGACCAGTGGGGCAATGGAAGGAGGTAATGTCAGAGCCGTTGCACAACTATTACCTGTACGGCATCATGGCACAGAGTTTGTCCTGTCTACACAAGATTTATCCTCTGCAAGGGACCCTGCATACCAGCTCCAAATTGTTAGTGACCAGTTTGACACTGAAATTATGTTGAACAATGGATCTACTTTCTCTTTTGGTGACAGCCGTGTGTATCGTCAAAACCTCGTGTATAACGAGACACTGTATTTTCATACCACAAGACCTGTCCTTGCAACCTTGTGTAGAGTCGGCGCACGAATATACTACCATGGGTTTGTTGTTGTAACTCCAGTTAAGTATTTTATTAACAATGCACAGGTTTATTATACAGAATGTATAAACATACTGACTAAACAACACGTAACAGATATTGAAGTATTTAGGAGTGGCATGACCCCTGCTACACTGGACTGGATGGCCATCCCTGGCAGTGATTACAAAGCGGGAACAACTTGTTATCACGACGGATACTTTGTCCGCTCTACCAACAGATTCGCTCTCTATGTGTCTTACGTCGACATTTACAATGGAGGCTACCATTTCCTAGCTGATCCATCAACCACACGTGCTACTACAGGTAAGTTGTACGATATTCTGATTTTGGAAAAAGATCAAATTTAAACAGGAGATGTACATACGTTGTTTTCAGTGTAAGATTATGGAATCTGTAGATTTATCGCTTTATTGGAATTACAATGTAGTTAGGCAACGACACCTTAACTGTTGCTGTGTGTCAGAAATATGACACATATATTTGGTTGATAGATAGAAGGGGGCGTGTGGCAAACATACGTAATACACTTAGATGAACAACAGTCTCTACGAGAAACATACAAGAAATATATTTTGAGTATGATTAATTGGAATTAGAATCTAGTTAGGCAACGACACCTTAACTGTTGCTGTGTGTCAGAAATATGACACATATATTTGCTTGATAGATAGAAGAGGGCGTGTGGTAAACACATGTAATACACATAGATGAACAAGAGTCTCTACGATGCCTTATTTATACAAGAAATCTTTTTTGAGTATGATTTCATGTGTCATTCAAACAGCATGAGCGAACAAATAAGTAAATGTATAACTTCATTTGAATGTTTTTCAATAATGTTATTAACTTAAGTTCGGAGGACAATTAAAACCATTCATGCTTAAACTGTGGTCATTATGTGTGTCCTGAATATTTACAATATTTGTTCACATTTTGAATATTCTTTTGATAACCAAATTGCCATCACTGTGTGTGTCCTGGATACTTACGATTTGTTTTTGGAGTTTAAATATTCATATTTTAATAACCTTCAGGTCATCATGAGTGAAATGTTTGTGTGTGGAGTGATGAAAGAGAATGCGTGCATTATTTCAATTCTGTCAACTTCTGCTTTACACTCTTACTCCAACGTCTGTCACCCTTTGTCACTTACCTCTAACCAAGGAAATAAGCTTTCGTCGGTGCTACACCGGCTTATCTACGAAAGCCTAATGCTGCTACTTTTGTAGCATAAACTATTTTTCAGCGACATTTCTCCTTGCTTTGATTATTTGGTGCATGGGAGTACTTTCTCGTTATTTCAATTATTTTCGCGTTACATCAAGTATTTTCTCCTTGCTTCTAGTATTTTCTCGTTGTTTCGAGGGTTTTTTCTCATTGCAACGAGAAAATACTAGAAGCAATGAAAAAATAGTTGAGCAAATCTAAGCAACGAGAAAAACAAGTCAATACTCGAAATTTCAAGGTTTTTTTTACAGAGACTTGAAGCAACGAGAAAATAATCGGAACAACGAAAACTTTCGCTGAAAAATAGTGTATGCTACAGCATTAGGCTGTCGTACGTATCTTCACTATATGTAGTCAATACTTCGCGGGATTGTGTACGCAATACACCTTCAATATTTTACCATTTTGTTTATTTTCAGCACTTCACAGGATTTTAAAACCAATGTATAACAAGCAAGTGCGGCCTGCATACTGGAGACATAAATGTTTAACACCACATGTAGAATTACCCTATCAGTAAACGTATTCAGTGTGGCCAGCGGAAGCTTCACCACAAGGTTGCCCTAGTCACTAATATGTTTGTAAGAAATATTAGATTTTATACAACGACAGATAACCGAGAACATATATAAATTTATATAATACCATCCTGTCATGCCTCAGGATTTTAGACACTTCTAGCTTTATATGTTACTACCATAGCTGTGGATCTCTCTGCTTCAATCATTATTTATACTCTCACTTATATTATCATTCAGTAATGTTGAACATGGCATCCAACAAATATTTGAATTGCATATCATGTTTCCGAGCTTTGTGTTATCTTACCTTGCAGTGTCAGTATATGGATAGTGTAATTTTATGAAGTAGTCTTTTGAAGCTAAACATTTTTAACACTTTGATCAGTAATAATAATTTATCAGATTGTTGTACAGTAATTGAACTATATTTTCTTCTCTCCACAATCTACTTCCCATGTGTAATGTATAGGTGTTGCGGAAAAGGTAACGTGATTTATTACACTTCTCGTACATCCTACAGAGGCATATCTCATCTGGACCTTTTCCACTAACTGAAGCCTGATTCGTGTATTCAATACTGTATCCAGGAATAGGCATGCATTTAGGGGGCTCGGATTGACGTGATCCGGATTGACAGGGGTTCAGACTGACGTGATCCGGATAGACAGGGGTTCAGACTGACGGTGTCCGGAATGACAGGGCTTCAGATTGACGGAATCCGTATTGACAGGGGTCCATGTTTTTTATTATTTTTCCTTACACAACTGTTTCATTTTATCTTCACGAAGATTGCGCCAGATTGCGAGGATTATTCAGCAATATATTTAATTTTATAACTGTTGGACAATAATGACATACAATAACAGCAAATGATACTCATCCCCAAAACCATTAATTATCTCAGATAGTTCATCAAAATTGCAATATTTGTAATTCCTATTCATATTAGCATAACAGCCAGTTTCTAGTTGTAACTTGTTAGCAAATATTCAGAGCATAGTGTACACATGTGAAATGTCTAGGTACATTTGGTAACTGAAAATAGCGCTGATATTTCCATAAAGATAACGTTTTGAGGAGTGATGGGCATATGGACCATTTCTTTCTTATATGGAATTATTTTAAATTATATTCATTTTTTCTTATGTTTCATGTCTTTGCTTAATAATTGCCTCATTATCTGTCGACCAATATCCCCTTCGCTAGGTGTAGTTCATGCCATATGTTTATATCGTACATTTTCTTTATGTCGTAGGTCTCCAGGACAAGACGCGCTTGAAAAGTCAAAACTTGGAATTATGTGATACACATCCCGTGTGGACTTACGAGAATATGATTGTTTATCCATTGGTGTTGATTGTTTCATTTAAGAGTATAAGATTAAAACATTTCTATGTGAGTTTCTTGGTTGTTTTACGCCGCACACGACTTAGCATCAGAAAATCCTCTGACAGACATCCTTTTCATCGATCTAAACACATGGCATACGCATCAACCAAGTTAACGAACCTAGACTGCTCAAGACCCGATCCAACCGCGGATCTTGAAGTGGATATGCTTGTTTCTACCGAAATATAAGTTTTTGTCGTCAGATAAAATACATCACTTATAACGAATTTGGAAATGACATATGACCCCTGTCGTCTGTGGCGCTAGAATTCGCTGTCCACGTATGTGTCCAGTGTCCTGCAAGAAACTTATGGCGGTGTGTTCGAATCCCGGTTTGCCCTGATTATGTTTCTGAGTTGGCTCAATATGCCACACCCATGCACGTGTGTTTTTACCAAAGTGGTACATATCTGGCACCTGCATCACTTCAGCAAGCTGAGAAGCCGTTATATAACTGAAATACTGTTGACAACGGCGTGAAACCAAGCTCACTCACCAACCATAGTGGAGGATCAGCCATAGTGAGCCGTATCATGGCGGCCGTTAGATTCGGCTCGACCCCGCTTCACAAAGCTATCGTAGCTACGACTGCTATACCTATTTTACTATAACACTGACTTACGACAGTCGTATTGCACTACGATAGCTTTCTGAAACGGGGCCCTGTGACCAGAGCAACGATACCGGCCAATTGCCTACTGAAAGGCAATCAGTCAGGAAGTCTGCTAGACTTGGTAGACGCATGTGAGGCGTATTAGTCGGGACTAATGCCGTCTTTATAGTGTTGGATCACTGAAATAGTATGCAGCAGTTTTAACATGAATATCCTACTCAGAAACTGTATACTTAGAAGAATGAGGATAATTTATGGATATACAACTTCTTATTCTGTGCTTGACAACGACATTAGAATCTATGTCGAAACGTCACCTTTCCCCAAATAAATAAGTTGTATATCCATACATTTATCATTTCTTCAATACTAACTACTAAAACGCCCTTCAAAGAAATGTATACTGACTCTCAGCGGACCAGGATTTGCCTTTTTTGTTTTAATGTTGAGTTCAACGTCAACTGGTATGACGCTCCCTGAAATCAAACCATGGACTTTGAGCTATCCGTGCAGACGCTCTATCCTCTAGACCATGCAGGCGGTCCTGACGAACCAAAACCTGCTAGAGCACATCCCAAGTGAGTGAGTGAGTTAATATTGAACGTCACATCAGCAATATTGCAACCATACCGTGGTGGCATATCCCAAGTGAGTGAGTGAGTTAGTTAATATGTAACGTCACATCAGCAATATTGCAGCCATACCGTGGTGGCATATCCCAAGTGAGTGAGTGAGTTAGTTAATATTTAACGTCACATCAGCAATAGTGCAGCCATACCGTGACGGCATATCCCAAGTGAGTGAGTGAGTTAGTTAATATTTAACGTCACATCAGCAATAGTGCAGCCATACCGTGACGGCATATCCCAAGTGAGTGGGTGAGTTAGTTAATATTTAACGTCACATCAGCAATAGTGCAGTCATACCGTGACGGCATATCCCAAGTGAGTAAGTGAGTTAGTTAATATGTAACGTCACATCAGCAATAGTGCAGCCATACCGTGACGGCATATCCCAAGTGAGTGAGTGAGTGAGTTAGTTAATATTTAACGTCACATCAGCAATAGTGCAGCCATACCGTGACGGCATATCCCAAGTGAGTAAATGAGTTAGTTAATATGTAACGTCACATCAGCAATAGTGCAGCCATACCGTGACGGCATATCCCAAGTGAGTGAGTGAGTTAGTTAATATTTAACGTCACATCAGCAATAGTGCAGCCATACCGTGACGGCATATCCCAAGTGAGTGAGTGAGTTAGTTAATATTTAACGTCACATCAGCAATAGTGCAGCCATACCGTGACGGCATATCCCAAGTCAGTGAGTGAGTTAGTTAATATTTAACGTCACATCAGCAATAGTGCAGCCATACTGTGACGGCATATCCCAAGTCAGTGAGTTAGTTAATATTTACCGTCACATCAGCAATATTGCAGCCATACCGTGACGGCATATCCCAAGCAATCTGTTGCTTGTAGTAAGAGGCTATAGACGGTATCCCCTGTGTGACTGGCGTCATTGAAGACTAGAAGACTAGGATTGAAGACTAGGATTGACTATAAGTTGAGTCAATTCCCTTGTTTCATTATACATCACTGTTCCAAGGCGGAAGGTTGGGTGGAGTCTGTTTACAAGGAATCCGTTTCTAAGGAAAGACAAGTAACTCGAAATGGGAATTGTTGACAATTGTGGAAATCTCGATGGCAACGTTTCTCCTGTGAACCGAATCGCATGCTTACAAAATGTCAAAGTTACTCATAAGATTAGATAATACAAACGTCGCTATATTATCAATTACTTTGTTCACACCATTAACTCCCATGTACCAGAACATGAGGAGAATGCCATGGGGTCTACACTACCAGGTGCGGAGCCTGTACAGTCTTGTCAGAGAACGTTCACACGTGCCTAAACAATAACTAATTCCATAGGACAGGGCACTTCTACAGGCCGGGTGTCAGTGGCTTTCAGGGAACGTGGAGGATAAGAAACTATCCCCACCCAGGACGGATCGATGGCAGTCGGGGATTCGAAATACAACAGCCTGACTAACGACGAGCATGACTCGAGATGATTCGTTCACAAAATTCCCACTGGACCAGATAATTCAGTGACTGACATCAGCATTCATCGAAGCAAACAAAATTCAATGATGTCCAATCAACCAAACCACTGAAAGTGTAATGTCAAATATACCATATGTTACGTTTTACCTCTCACAAGAAAACCTTGTGTAATCATTGCTTCGTAGCAACAAATTTACCTTCATGGCCAGTGTTGCAAAATCATTACAAAATCAGTCCGGACATAGAGCTCCACATGTCAACACCAGACTCACACATGAACACGTTTTCAATTTAAAATGCGCAATAGCCACCAGGGGGGGCAATTGTAGCAATCGTAGTTTCAGTTACCGTCGATACTAGATTTCCCTTAATAGATAGTGTTACCCGGTGTTATCGATGGGGAAAGATAATCCGGTAAACTTGGTATCACAAGATAATAAATATGCAAATAAGGTCACCTTGCAGGAAGTACATTTGAACTCCATACATCGCTGCAATGTGTGCTAGTTCAATCAGATACTGACTAACTTTCCCACTAATATTTGATGGTGTTTGGCTGAATGTGGCTGATTCAGTTCCCACAGGGAGTTGCATATTGCTTGGCGGAAAAAGATAAACGGGACATTTACACTGACACTGTATTTATACACAGTGTCTACACTTATTTCATCGAGCGAATTAGCTGAGTGTGTTTCCGTTCTATAAATATACATGTATCTTGAAAGTCAACGCCAAGGTATAACCAGTATCTGAAATCGACAAAAACAGACACAGTTGAAACAGGCTGAATAATACAAAGTGTTCAAGGACAATACAATTGGTTCTAATATATGGTATTTTATGGTGAGGGTAATAATCTGCATTCCCTATTGTGAACAAATGCTGCAGTACATCTTCACCTGTATACTATTTACCATCCTGTCATTTCTGTCTCACAAGTGTCTGGTGTGTTGGAGAGTTCTTGCTGCGTCTTAACTATCTGGAAGCTTTCAACTCAGTGCATTTGTTTCACACCACATTCAGAGTGAGTGAGTGAGTGAGTTAATACTTAACGTCACATCGGCAATATTTCAGCCATATCGTGATGACCACATTCAGAAAATATCATAGACAGACAGATTATTTATTTAAGTCTCACCTCATATGTAAAATACAGGTAGGGGTGTGTCTGTGTGTCTGTGTGTGGGTCTGGGTGGGTGGGTGGGTGGGTGGGGTGTGTGTCGCTGTACAAGCTATAATACAGAATAGAAGTGAGCCACCCGTTTAGGGTTATGAGAGACTATCGTCAATTTTTAATTAAGAACAGACATAAATATGCACCATGAAATACATAATATATACAAATAGCAGTGACAATAAAGGCTCAATACGGTAAAAGGAAGATAAAGGGGAGAATTATTTGTTTATTTGATTAAGTTTTTTAAGCAACAGTTTGCAGCAGTTTTGGCAGTAAAATGAAAAATATTGGAATTTGACATAATAAAAAACAGTTTCTGTTCATCAGTAAAATTGCTAAAGGTAATGCACACATGATCACAATGTCTACACAATAATCATTAGTGAACACCAGAAAAATATGGACAAACTTTCCGGTGATGCGACTTTCCGATACAGATTCTTGTATCGTCAAGAAGGTGACGTTTCGATTCAGATTCTTGGATCACCTGCTTGACAACGATACAAGAATCAGTATAGATAGATAATGGTATGTTTCCAACTAGCGGGTCTTCTTCAATTATTGTTCCTCTTCATCAGAAGGGGACATTTGATGAACCTGACAACTATAGAGGCATCTCACTTATGAGTATTCTGGGCAAAATATTCACAACTTTATTAAATAATAGAATAACAAATTGGGCAAATATGCGGGACTTCATCCCAGAAACTCAGGCCGGTTTTCGAAAAAAATATTCTACTTCAGATCACATCTTTACATTAAATGCAATAATTCAAAAACGTCTTTCACGCCGAAAACACAAATCGTATGTAGCGTTCGTCGATTTTCAAAAAAGCTTTCGATTCTGTTGATCGTTCTAAATTATGGTATTGTCTGCTAAAGACCGGATTACGAGGGAAAATGTATTCTGTTTTAAGGTCTATGTATTCTAATATAAAATCATGTGTGCGATGTGGTGATGATTTTACAGATTTTTTTGATTGTCCAGTCGGATTAAGACAAGAATGTATTTTAAGCCCAATGTTATTTTCATTTTTCATTAATGAATTGTATTACGATATTGCTAAAAATGGAAAACATGGTATTCAGATGTTCCCAGATATTATTGAAATACTAATGTTACTTTTTGCTGATGATGTCATTTTAGTTTCA